GATTCTGCTAAATGAGAGAAGACAAAACTGAACTTGCCCAGTTGAAAAGAATTTGGATGCTTCTTGTCTGAGCTTGTTCCTGCTTCTCCCTCTCCCCCCACCCCAACCCTTTCTCTACACCACCTCCCATTCGGCATGGGCAACCCCATCTGCTGACAGCCATCATGTCTGATCCCTAGCTGTCCTCCCCATCCCTCACTGTGAAATAGGGAAAAAGACACTGACATAAGGATCCTAAGTTAGAGAACTATTTTTCTTCTTATTGGAATAAAAAGAGGGAGAAAATGTGTAAAATATAATCAAAATTTAGGAGTAGGATCATCTAAGATCTCTGACTGTACCACAGACTCCCTTACCAAAAACAGGCTATAAAAGATGGGCTCTTTCTTGCTAACTATATGTTTCACATCCTAAAATAACTAATCACATCCATGTGGAGTTTTTGCTTCTTTGTGGGGTGTGTGGGGATGGGCATGTGGGGGCATGGCTATGCCCACATGTGTGTGGTTTGTCAGGCATCACCTGTTGTAAAAGGATCAAGGAAATATTGAAAGGAAACTTTTTCAATATCTGTGCATCACCCTGGGCAGTTTAATTATCCACTTTCTGAAGAATGGGAGAGAGATGTACAGGAAAAGAATTGCTCCAATAATACATACATAATATATATATTATTATATATGTAGTATATGTATAATTACATATATATCATATTATATATATGTATGTGTGTGTATATATATATATATTATAAAAACATCTTCATTGAGTCTTTCTCTTTCTCAGGAATGTTCCACAATAAAGTATAATACCAGTCACTGATCTCTGAAAAGGTCCAACGTGGACTTGGGACTAGTTTGACCAGGCCAGGCCATATGTTTGGGTTTTTTAAAACCTCTCTCCTAAAGAGTGAAATTCCACAACTGTGTGACCCCATGAAAGAACTAAAAACCGCTTGACAAAACAGGAATTGGCTGTGCTTTTCATGTGTAAACATTCCATATTCTTTATCTGCCTTCTGTAGAAATTACAACCCAAAGGTTGAACTTACATAATTTGGTTATAGATAATTTTGTGTACCGAACACTCAGAAGGAATATTATGTAATGATACTTTTCCTTCCATTTCAATCTAAAAATATATATTACTGAGTCCATTCTGCAACTGGAATCCAGCTACATGTAGACTTACTTAATTTGCCTCTGGTTTAAAACAAATAAAAAAACTCTACCAGTTCCACAGCCCTAGAATTGCTTCATAAGAAAAATAGCTTTTAAAGAGTATATTCAGGGGCGCCTGGGTGGCTCAGTCGGTTAAGCGTCTGCCTTTGGCTCAGGTCATGGTCTCAGGGTCCTGGGATCAAGCCCCACTTGGGGCTCCCTGCTTAGCAGGGAGCCTGCTTCTCCTTCTCCCTCTGCCTGCCACTCCCTCTGCTTGTGCTCTCTTTTTCTCGCTCTCTCTCTCTCAAATAAATAAATAAATAAATAAATAAATAAATAAATAAATAAATAAAGAGTATATTCAATTTTTCACCTTCCTGCTCCTTAACTAACACAACGCCATGACTATATATAAACTGAAACCATGAAATAAAAACATTCTTCACAAAAATTAAAAAAAAAAAAATCTTTGTATCAAATCATCCTGGCTCTTAAAGCTTAAAGAAACCAGCTACCTGCCACCTATGTGTAACAAAGATCCCAGGCAAAAAAAAAAAAAAAGTACTTTGTATATTCCTCAGCCCAGCAACCTCCATTTATGTTATTATTTTATACTCTGCTTCTTTTTTTTATATATATGTTCTGTACTTCTTGCAATTTCAAATTTTCACTGCAATAAGAGAAAAAATGCCCAATGGAGGTTTTTGCCAGTATCTCAAAAGAAATTCTGCTCTACCCTTAGTCTTCCAGAGTATCCATGCTCTGCTAAGTATGGCCCATATGTGTTTCTCCTTAGGAACAGAATGTTTTGGGGCTGAGATTTCTCCAAAGGAATGAGGTGGTTTAGGGTAGAATGGACATGAATAAATACCCTTTCTTTGTTTGAGAACTGAAAATCAAGGCTTTACAAATGTCAGGAACCAGAAAGCAAGGCTGAGCTATCCACAGGAATAGTGATTTAAAGGAGGGATGGGAGGGAATTTCCAAGTGTGGACTTCCCCTACTTATGCTATTAAATTTGATTTTCTCTTGTAAAAAAATTAAATAAAATTTAAAAAATAAAGGAGGGATAGGAAAGAGTCAATGAACTAGAAACTTAGGAATCTGAACTTTCCAAATCACACCTATATACAGATGCTCAGTTTTGGAAGCTAGTCCCAAACACTTAACCTCTGTTTCTGTTTTGCTGTTTGCCTTCTCCCCAGTTGACAGCCTCCATCTTTATCTGGTCTCCTCTGTGTCCTGGTGGATTCCAGCCTCTGGTTTCTAAGTTTATATGGCTTCCCAGGCTGGAATTTAATATCTATTCTGCACAGCAGAGGAAGGAAAAGACAGCAAGGAAGGAAAGAAAATCTCTGCCCTCAAGGTGCTTATATTCTAGTGGGAGGAAAAAGATAATAAACAAAATAAGTAATTAAAATATAGAATATTAATTGATCATATGACAATGCTGGTATATTTGAACTTCTTGACCTGCAAAAATGGCAATTTCATATGAGTCAACCTCTGTATTAAATGGCGATTTATTATTTTAAATTTTATTTATTTTAAATATTATTTTAAAAATGAAGTAGGGGAGAATAAGTAGTAGGGTTGATGAAGGATGACAGCAGAGAGGGTTACAATTTAAAATAGGGCAATCCGGGGTCCCTGGGTGGCTCAGTAGGTTGAGTCCGACTCCTGATTTCAGCTCACATCATGATCTCAGGGTCCAGAGATCAAGCCCCACAGCTGCTCTGCACTTGGCATGGGACCTGTTTAAGATACTCTCTCGCAAATAAATAAATAAAATTAAAAAAAAAAAACAACATAAAAATAAAAAAATAAAATAGGGCAATCCATTCCTATGGGGCACAATTATGTGAGACTGTTTTTGCTACTTTATCATTATTTTTCTAAGGAGCATGCATTCCTTTATAATGAGTTTTTTAAAACTTTATAATATCAAGCTTGCTGAAAAACCACAATGAGTCACTTAAACATATAAATTTTAGGGCACTTACATCAAGTAGGAATATAAGATACAAATCATATTAACACAGTCTTAGGATCTATGAAATTAGATTAAATACTGTGTGGTACAAAGAATCTAATTATATATGTTTTAAGCCATTAATTTTAAAAACAAGCAATAAAGTGTATTTTAATGAGCATAGTAGAAATACAGTTTACTTTTCTTTTCTTTTTTTAAAGATTTATTTATCTATTTTTTTTTTTAAAGATTTTATTTATTTATTCATGAGAGACAGAGAGAAACAGAGGGAGAAGCAGGCTCCCAAGGAGCGGGAAGCCCGATGCAGGACTCGATCCCAGGACCCTGGGATCATGACCTGAGCCGAAGGCAGACGCTTAACCATCTGAGCCACCCAGGCGCCCTTATTTATCTATTTTAGAGAGAGACAGAGAGTGTGTGCATGCATGCATGAGCTGGGGGAGGGGCAGAGGGAGAAGGAGAGAAAGAACTCCAAGCTGACTCCCCACCAAGCATGGAGCCCTATGTGGGGCTCAATCCCATGACTCCAAGATCATGACCAGAGCCAAAATCAAGAGTAGGCCACCCAAAGAATTTAGCCACCCAGGTGCCCCTATGTTACATTTTTTAAAATTTATGTTACATTTTTAAAATACACATGATCAAAGAACAAACAACTCCTATTAATGGATCACCCAAATAGTTTCCACCTAAAACAATGCGTTTCAGCATTTAAATTGTGAACTACAAAAATGTGAGGAGAGGGGAGAAATACTTATAAAAGGTATCTATGAGACAGCTTAATTAAAAAATAGTTTTTAATAGTTTCAGTTAAGCGACTGACTCTTGGTTTTGGCTCAGGTCATGATATCTGGGCTGTGAGATCGAATCCTGCATGGGCTCTGTGCTCTATGCTCAGAGTATCTCCTGCTTGAGATTCTCTGCCTCTCCCTCTCCGTCTGCCCCTCCCCCACTCTCTCAAATAAATACATAAAATGTAAAAACTAAATAAAAAATGAACTAATACATGGCTTAAACATTAACATAACACAAATGGAATTATAACACTTTGTAAATAAATTCCATAAAAACTAGGATACTAGTAAGACTAATTATTAAATTAATCCATTGGACATGACCTGGAATCTAAAAGGAAGATGTGAATTCTCCTTCCAAATACTAACTGACCCAGCTCAATAATCTGTTCATATGTGCCCATTCCCCAAAAGAAATCTAAACCAATACTGCTCAACAGAACCTTTTGCAGTGATGGAAATGTTCTGCCTTGTCCCATAAGGTAACCACTAGCCATACATGGCTAATGAACACTTGAAGCGTGGCTAACAAAACTGAAAAACAGAATTTCCAAAATTACATCATATTTACAGAATAATCACAGTACCCTAAATTTCAAAAAAACTGAGTCCCAAATCAATGCATCTAATGCCATTATTAGGGGTCACACATCATGCAGCTAACCCTCTGAATCATTGAGCAAAAAGGGTAACTCTTTTCTGCTGTTCTTAAGAAAGACATTTTAATACCCAAAATATTATTTTCACAATTAACTGCATTCATAGGAACTTAGGTCAGATATATTCTTATGCAAAATATTAGAGTAAGTCTTGCCCTCCACATTACCTTCTTAAATCTGTTACAGCTGTTCAATTTCAAATGGATATCCATTTCCTGTTATTTGCTAGACTTTATAACTTACAATCAATAGATATAAAAGTTTTAAATGTAGTCATTTAACAGATAGGGGAAGATGAAGTAAAATATAGTAAGAAAACAAAACCTTACAAAAGCTTATAAAAGTGGATTGAATGGTATCTGACAAAATGAAGTACAGCTCAACCAAGACTTACTGGTTTAGCACGACGTCAAGAATAAAGGATGTTCCAAAGGCATCAACCTGGAAGCTTGCCTGGTCAACATGAGTCAACTGCAATATCAAAAAGATAAAAGGTACTTATTATTCAGCCACTGCAATCAGACAATAAGCATTTCTTATGATGATTCAGAAAGGTTTATAATATTATAAATTAGAAAACCGATTCAACATGGAGATTAAATTTAAAAAAGTAAAATCCACACCTTTTTATAAGCCAAGCATTCACCAATCTGAAGTAAAGCACCACCTCACCCAAGAGGTTACCTTTCTGGTTTATCTCAAATGGCTAAACAGTTCATTTCCAAGAAGACTATACTTCATTCATTTTACTCTATATTAAATGACTGGCTCCTTTAAAATTAAACTTTGTACATTAAAAAAGAGGGAAAAATATGTTCAATTCAAGAGTAAAATACTAACAAGGAAGATATCTAAACCTCCACAAAAAAAAATTTTCATCCTACCTGAAATATCCTTTAAAATTAATATTTCAGTTCTAATTTGCCAAACATAATTTTATAGAGGTTTCCACATCTTCCTAGAGCAAAACTGAATCTCTGCTATCTACTGAAAATATCGCCTATGAAAATTTGTTTGGGGAAAAAAAAAATCACTATTTCTTATGCTATTCTAGGAACTCCCAGAGAAAAATCACAAGGGACTCTAAAAAAAAATGTAATGTTACCAATAACACTAATACTAACATATTGAATAATCATGTGCATTAACTGAAGAGAAGGAAACAAAACCATTTATTCTGTTTGATTCTCCAAATATTAACTGTAGCTCTAGCTAAGCAGTAGGACCATGAATTAAGTTTTTTGTTTATGTTTCTCTAGTATCCAAAATTTCTAAAATAAACATGTATAATTCCAACAGTGAGAATAAAAGAATCTATTTATCTATTATCTATTTTATAGATAAAAACCATCTGAGCAACCATATTTAAGTAGTATGTGAGGCAGATGATGTTACTGTTCCCAGAGAACCAGCACATCTTAAGAAAAAGAAACATCCTAGGATTCTGAGGGCCATTAATGGACACCTCAATCATCCCTGGGATTTTCACACATAGTAAGTCTATGGTACTAGGTGAAAGGAGAGAGAGAGAGCTTAATTAATAACAATAAAGCTTTTTGGAAAGAAAAAACAATTCTTATCTTTAAAGTATTTGAAAGAAGTAGGGGTAAGAGAATGTCATACCTCAGGTGCTAGCACATTCCAGTCCCCATGGAACCCCAAGAATGAAGAACTATTTGGATACCTTGCAGCCTCATTATTTCTTTAACCATTCAACTTCAACTCCTGGTTCTTCCCAGGTAACACCAGGCTATCACCAAACTCTGGCTTTTTTTCCTTTTTATAATTTTTGAAGCCATACCTTACTCTTCATTCCCGTATCTGCCACAGATCATATTCTCCCTGATCTAAAACGGACTCTTCACCAAAACCCAGATGTAAGCCCCAGATTTTCTTTTTTTTTTTTTTTTAAAGATTTTATTTATTTATTTGAAGAGAGAGACACAGCAAGAGAGGGAACACAGGCAGGGGGAGTGGGAGAGGGAGAAGCAGGCTTCCCACTGAGCAGGGAGCCCGATGCGGGGCTCGATCCCAGGACCCTGAGATAACGACCTGAGCCGAAGGCAGACGCTTAACGACTGAGCCACCCAGGCGCCCCAAGCCCCAGATTTTCTACTGTACCAATACAAACTTTCTCTCCCTGGATATCAAGATCCTCCACAGACACCTCTCCCCACCCCAGACAGAATGGTACCCAAGTCCCCAAGGCCCCACCCGTACCCTACCCGTGGTCAGTTCTCCCTTCTCTTTAATTCATCAAGCTCGGTGCATTCCAACTTTTTTTTTTTTTTTTTAAGATTTTATTTATTTATTTGAGACAGAGAGAATGAGAGAGACAGAGAGCACATGAGAGGGGGAAGGGTCAGAGGGAGAAGCAGGCTCCCCGCCGAGCAGGGAGCCCGATGCGGGACTCGATCCAGGGATTCCAGGATCATGACCTGAGCCGAAGGCAGTCGCCTAACCAACTGAGCCACCCAGGCGCCCGCATTCCAACTTTTTTTGTGGCTTTCATTCATCACTTCTGTGGAGTGCCTTTCTGAACCAGACCCTTGGATAGGGATTTTCACCAAGGCCACTTCCAAGAAATGGCCCCTATCCATCCTTCAAGATGTAGCTCAAGCTCCTCTTTGTATCAACCTCTTAGGGCTGTCCTAACAAAGTACCACAGACTAGGAGCTTCAACAACTGAAACTTACTTTCTCATAGTAAGGCTGGAGGCTGGAACTACAAGATCAAGGGGTAGGCAGATTTGGACTCTCCTGGGACCGCTCTCCTTGGCTTTTCACTGTCCTCACGTGGCCTTTTCTCTATACCTGGCCCACCCTAATGACCTCATTTAACCTCAGTTACAGCTGTAAAGGCCTTATCTCGAGTCACAGCAGGGGTTAGCGCTTCAACACAGGAATTTTGGAGGAGACACAGTTCAGTCTAAACACTCCTCTTCCTTGAAGTCTTCCCAGTCTTTTCCAACCTCCTTCTCTCCTCCTCCTCAATACTGTTCACTATGATACGAGGGCCTCAGGACTGACCAGCATCAGGGACTCAGTATTTCCTGATTGACTCATTTTATCAGTCACCTGGATACATAAACGAACAACAACGGAACAGCTATAAATTACCTGCTTACAGAAGTGCACTCCTTCCATCGAGGTTGTTTTTTTTTTTTTTTTAAAGATTTTATTTGTTTATTTGAGAGAGAGAATGAGATAGAGAGCATGAGAGGGGGGAGGGTCAGAGGGAGAAGCAGACTCCCCGCTGAGCAGGGAGCCCGATGCGGGACTCGATCCCGGGACTCCAGGATCATGACCTGAGCCGAAGGCAGTCGCTCAACCAACTGAGCCACCCAGGAGCCCCATCAAGGTTGTTCTTAATGCCACGTCAGTGGACAATGTCTTTACTTTTGTCTAAAAGCTTTCTGAGTTTCCAGAAGTGCTAACAACCATGTTTTGGAACAGCCTGACGATAGCGCTGCTTCCCAGCACTGATGTCTCCATTAAAACCTCTCTTCTCTCCATTCTTTCTTGGTACTTAACAGGGGTGAACGGGGCAGAGGCCCCATGTTATTCATCATGGTATCCTGATTCAGTGTAGGGATTAAGATAACATTACCGTTCTTTTTCAGCAAGATACTTACTGTTTATATTAATTTCATCTAATTCTTACGTTTTGTGTTTCCTGCAGCTTCAGTTTAAAACATCTAGTATCTTATTTTATTGATCTCCCATGTGTCCCAAAGAGAAACGCATTACTTAAATTCAAATCTACTGACAGCAATGTTTAACTGCTGTTTAGTAAAAAACGTTTGCATTATTGATAGTAATAGGAACAACAGTATATTAATTTTGTTTTAATCTAAAGCAAGCTTCCTTAGTCTGTATACAGAGTGATTCACTCAACAAATACCTTCTGAGAGTCTAGCAAGTGCTGGGAACTATTCTGATTTGGTGAAGAAAATAGACCATGTTTCTCTGTTAGTGGAGCTTATTTTCTAGGGGAAGGAGACAGAAAGTGACAAATAAAATGACAGAAGATGAACAATAAAAAATAAACTGAGAAAATAAATACACTATTCCCAGATTTAATTAAACAAGGTGAACAGGTGACCAGGGTGGATGGGATTCTAGGTGGTCCTGGAAGGCTTTGGAAGGAACTGGCATCTAGGTGACACATGAATGACTAAAAGGAATCTGTAGTAGATAGAATAATGACCCTACAGATGCCCACACTCTAATCCCCGGGACCTATGAACATGTTACCTTACATAGCAAAAGGGAATTCGCATATGTGATGAATTTAAGGATCTTGAGATGGAGAGACTATCCCGGGTTATCCAGGGGGGGCCAATTTATAAGACCAGAGTCTTAGAAGGGTCAGAGTCAGAGAAGGAGATGTGATAATGGAAATAGAAATTAGAATAAGGTGAGGCAAAAGCCATATGCCAGTGAATACTGGAAGCCTCTAGATACTGGAAAAGGCAAGGAACAACTCTCCCCTAGAGGAACACAGTATTGCCAACACCTGCATCTTAGCTTTGTAAAACCCACTCCAGGCTTCTAATCTCCAGAACTGTAAGAAAATTAATTTTTGTTGTTTTATAATATTAAGTGTTTGGTAATTATTACAGCAGCAATAGGAAACCAATACTGCCTTGCTGGCATTATTCCTCAACGTTTAGAAAAGCAGCTCCCATAAAGAGCTGATTTCACCAGTGGTTCAATGTCATCCTCCTCCGTGGATCGGTTAAAACCAAGGCGCTCACAGCTGTAGCTCAGACATCCACGATGGCACAAGGATCAAACTCCAAACACAAGGCTGCCCAGCCAAACCAAACTTGCCATGGTGACCACTAAAATAAATGTTAGCATGGTTTCCTTGCATTCTGTGTGGCCTTCTCTCTTTCCAGAGTCTGCCTTCCCCATGTTTGACTTAAAAAGCAGGCCAAAGAACTCTGACAAACAAACTGAGGGTTCTAGAGGGGAGTGGGTGGGAGGATGGGTTAGCCTGGTGATGGGTATTGAGGAGGGCACATTCTGCATGGAGCACTGGGTGTTATGCACAAACAATGAATCAAGGAACACTACATCTAAAACTAATGATGTAATGTATGGGGATTAACATAACAATAAAAAAATTTTTTAAAAAAAGCAGGCCAAAGAGAACAAACATATTTACATCTTTAGGTTATCTTGGAGAAACAATTAAGTAGAATTTACCTGACTTCACGCTATATTAACAATCTAGCTTCTTAGCCAACACCATCAATGGGAGCCAGGATGGTTCTCAGAAAGTTAATCTTAGACCCTGCCTTTTTAGTTCAAAGGAAAAGGAAATGTTTGAGAAGAGAGAACTAGTATAATATCAGGGTTTTCCTCTTTTGGGGGGCGGGTATGCTAACATATATTGCCAAACAAAAATTCTAATACTTATTAACTTTCATTTGAATGTTAAAAGGTAGTAATGGCTCTCAGAGA